ATCACCATGCCCAGTTAATTTTTGTATTTTTTTTTTTTAGAGACAGGGTTTTGTCCTTTTCCCAGGCTGGTCTGAAACTCCTGAGCTAAGTAGGTGTAAAAATCCCTATTTCACATAAGAAATTGAGGCACCATGAAGATAAGGCCACAAATCTAAGAACTGGGAGATCTGGAAGCCCCCCCAGATCCCTTAGTTTTAAGCTCAGTATACCAAACTAAGGGGGCAGGGAGAGCTAACTTAATGTTAGCTGGCAGGCTGGTGTTAAGTTTGCAGCAGAATTTTCATTGATTTATGGGAAAATGGGGAAAAGTAGGGACACAAAAGTAAACTTTCTTTTTTTTTTTTTTTTTTTTTTGAGACGGAGTTTCACTCTCGTAGCCCAGCTGGAGTGCAATGGCACCATCTCTGCTTACTACATTTGCCTCCCAGGTTCAAGTGATTCTCCTGTCTCAGTCTTCAGAGTAGCTGGGATTACAGGTGCATGCCACCACACCCAGCTAATTTTATATTTTTGGTAGAGACAAGGTTTCACCATGTTAGCCAGGCTGGTCTGAAAGGAAACTTTTTAATATAACTAAATGATTCCATTCAAAGATCTTTTATTCTGGCTGGGTGCAGTGGCTCATGCCTGTAATCCCAGCACTTTGGGAGGCTGAGACGGGCAGATCATGAGATCAAGAGATCAAGACCATCCTGGCCAACATGGTGAAACCCTGTCTCTACTAAAAATACAAAAATTAGCTGGGTGCGGTGGCACATGCCTGTAGTATCAGCTACTCAGGAGGCTGAGGCAGGAGAATCACTCAAACCAAAGAGGTAGAGGTTGCAGTGAGCCAAGATCATGCCAACACAATCCAGCCTGGTGACAGGGCAAGACTCTGTCTCAAAAAAAAAAAAAAAGTAAAAAATAAAATTTATTGTGAGGGATTCTGTTCTTTCAAATTATTTGAATGAAAATATCCTTTTGTTAAATGAAATAATGGTGACAGGAGATAGTGGTGCGATATTTGCTTTTATTGGCTGTACCTGGTAGAAATAAAAAATCAGGCCAGGCATGGTGTCTCACAAGGTCAAGAGATCGAGACCATCCTGGCCAACATGGTGAAACCCTGTCTCTACTAAAAATACAAAAATTAGCTGGGCATGGTGGCATGTACCTGTAATCCCAGCTACTCAGGAAGCTGATGCAGGACAATCACTTGAACCCAGGAGGCAGAGCCTGCAGTGAGCTGAGAACACACGACTGCACATCAGCCTGGCAGCAGAGCAAGACTCTGTCTCAAAAAACAAAAAAATCAGCATTTCTATTATAGCCTTCTAATTTTGGGGGAAGTATTTCTTTAGAAATCTAAAAGTTTGGCCCTTTACATCATTATGGCCCCAAAATAATAGGGGACTTTACACACAGATAACACATGTCCCTCAAGATTCTCTCTTTAATCTCTACCTTGTTCTCTTTGGATTAGGACATTTGAGATTGTGAAATGAGAATAAAGTTGAGTATAAGCAATCCAAAACCATGTGCTGACACTGGATCCTGAAAGAGGACTTTCTTCAGAATCATTTTCATCTGTTACCTTGTCTCTGGGCTCAAACATTTTTTCATTTGTTTTGAGACAGAGTTTCTCTCTTGTTGCCCAGGCTGGAGTGCAATGGTGCGATCTCGGCTCACCACAACCTCCACCTCCCAGGTTCAAGTGATTCTCCTGCCTCAGCTTCCTGAGAAGCTGAGATTACAGGTATGCAAGACCACACCCAGCTAATTTTGTATTTTTAGTAGAGACAAGGTTTCCCCATGTTGGTCCGGGTGGTCGTGAACTCCTGGCCTCAGATGACCCATCTCAGCTTCCCAAAGTGCTGGGATTACAGGCGTGGGCCAGGTGGCTTCAAACTTATTTATTTATTTATTTGAGATGGAATTTCACTCTTGTTGTTGGCTCACTGCAACCTCCATCTCCTGGGTTCAAGCAATTCTCCTGCCTCAGCCTCCCAAGTAGCTGGGATTAGAGGCATGCACCACCACGCCCACCCACCTAATTTTGTATTTTTAGTAGAGACGGGATGGGGTTTCTCCATGTTGGTCAAGCTGGTCTCGAACTCCCAACCTCAGGTGATCCACCTGCCTCGGCCTCCCAAAGCAGTAGTATTACAGGTGTGAACCACCACACCCAGCCTGGGCTCAAACTTTCTTTTCCTAAGGAGTCACATCTTTGAGTAGTACTGCTACATGGCAATCACTACTTAAAAGAAACTAACTTAAGGTGTCCAATAATCAGCTTTCATTAAAGTCTCTTTCAGCTTGACAAAATAAAAACTTTCAATGTTTTGTCTACCTACTTCCAAAAGAATATTAGTCTACATATGTACATATATGTGATTATATATGTATATATACATATGTGATTTTGCAGACTGTTTATAAACTATTTCCAAAATAAGCTGACCTGTAAATTCATTTATTAAATGAGTTTATAAACTACTTGATTTTTGTAAGTAGTTTATAAACAGGCTGATCAAACTGAACAAATTTCTTAAAATAATTTCACTGTATAGATAGCAAGTAAGTTATTTACTCTTATTAGCATATCTTATTTTTACCTGTCCATAACGAGTATCTAAGTTAAACTGTTTTATGTCCACAGCTACACACTGAAACAACACTTTTGGTCACAACATATTAAACTATAAAGAGATCCAGTTACCTTTAGTCTTACATGTACTTTAATATACTTCTTGATGTTTTATGATGCACACACAGCTCTTACAGGACAGCTATGAGAATATTTAGAGTGTATGCTTATTAAATGGTTCAAAACTCTTTTTTAAAAAAAGTCAATTTTGGCCGGGTGCAGTGGCTCAAGCCTGTAATCCCAGCACTTTGGGAGGCCGAGGCGGGTGGATCACGAGGTCAGGAGATCGAGACCATCCTGGTCAACATGGTGAAACCCCGTCTCTACTAAAAATACAAAAAATTAGCTGGGCATGGTGGCACGTGCCTGTAATCCCAGCTACTCAGGAGGCTGAGGCAGGAGAATTGCCTGAACCCAGGAGGCGGAGGTTGCGGTGAGCCGAGATCGCGCCATTGCACTCCAGCCTGGGTAACATGAGTGAAACTCCGTCTCCAAAAAAAAAAAAAAAAAAAAGTCAATTTTAAGAACTTAAACATACAGTAAAGTACTACTTCCATGCTCCAATGTTAAAAGGTCTATTAATTTTTGTATACTTGTTTCAAAAAAAATCTAAAATTGGTAATAATTGTGCTGAAATTCCTTATTAACCTAGGATCAAAAGTTATTTTTACTTCTTGTTTCTTAATACTTGAAATGTGCTGCTGCATAATGTTTTCCTTACATATTTATTCAATCAACTAACTTTAGGTGGAAGGCACTTAAGAGTTTAAAAGTCCTTTCCCAAAGTGGAAATAACATTAAAATTTTGCATAAAAGACATTCAATGTTTCTCAAGGGTGTCTGAGGTTCTAATCAGCCTATTACCTTGGTTTGGAATAACCACCACCAATATATGTGAGCTTTTTGTCACATCTATGTATTTTTCTCTATAAAGTAATACTTACATTTTAAATGCATTTTGAAAATGTTTCACTTGGCCATGTAATAATTATTTCCCCTGTAAAAAGCTACAGGATTTTGGTTTAAGAGCAAATGAGATAGAGTATCTGGTCCATAAGAAGGCTAAGTGGAAAGTTCTGCACGCTGAAGTTTGTAACCAATAACAAGACAAACTCCAATGCTAACTTATTCATGTAATCAACAATATGTGCGTCAAAATAAACTAGTGAGCTGTACATTTCTGTCTACATACCAATTTACCAATCAACAGGAGGGGAAGAAATTGCTCAAATGTGACTGTTAACAAACATGTTAACAAACATCTAAATATTAGACACAGTTTCTATTAAAATCATAACCTATCAATTCTGAAATCATTCCTTCAAATTCTGTTATGTTTGTAATACCCACCCATTAAAAAAAAAAAACAAAACAGCAGCAACCTTTAAAATGTAAATTCCTCCCCTTTTCAAAGTAACTTGCCTAGGAAAATTTAATGCGTTAAAATAAAATGTAACAGACAAACCAATTACAACATTAAAAAATAAATATACTAAAATGATCAGTAACACAAACCAATCGCTCAAGTTTAGCAAAGCATGTGTTTTTAGTCTGTTGTGGATATCCTATTATACTAATAAGCAACAAATTTTACAAGTCATCCCAATGCCTAAACCACCACCATACACACAACATGCTTGTCCTTTACTCAAATGAAGCTTAAACTCAGACCCAAACTCAAGACCATTTTCCCCTCCTGCCACACTGAAATATACAAGGGGAAATCCAAGAAATCAGATATAGTAACTGCCCGTATCTTCCTCCAGAGTAGTGTCAAACTCGTGTTTGCCCTTAAATGTCACCGTGCCAGTAAGTCTGCAAATTCTCATTAGCGCTGGAGTACAAAGAAGCCTGACCAGGAAGACACTGGGAAACGCAACCCCCCTGAGCCTGCGCCGGCCCCAAAGCTTCGGCTGCAGCGATAGGAGGACAAGAGGTGGCCGCTGGCCTCGCGGATGCGGCGGACAGAGTCCTACACCCCTGCCCGCCTCCCGAGAACCACCCTCCTCAGACTCCCGCGCTCCAGCCCAGCGCCGCCACCGCCCGCCCGACCGCACCTCGACCGCCCCGGCCTCGCGGCTGCACTCTATCACCTCATCCCTCCCTAGTGGCCTCGCAGCCCCATCACCTCCGCTGCGCGGCCTGGGCTTGGGCCGCCCTTCGGGCAGGAGCGCCCAGCTGCCGCCCCACGACCGGCCCGCCCCGGCCCCAGCCCGACCCCGTCCGTTCCGCGCAGCCAGGTCCCTGGCGGCCCGGGCCTGAGCTCCCACCGCGAGCTCCCCACCCCCAGCCTCCACCACCGCCCCGCGCGGCCGCTCCCGGCCCACTCCCCAACGGCTACCTGGAGGCAAGGGCAGCAACGCACCTCACCCAGGGCACCAGGTTGCAGAGGGCCGGGTGCTCGGGGTCCCTCTCCTACTCCCACTCCACGTGGCAGGCACAGATGGAGAGCAGGATCCGGGCTGCGCACACGGCATACTGGGCCACCCGGTCCCACCACAGCACCAACACTCCCAGAAAGACGGGCGCCGCCATCTTATCCCTCCGCCGCCACAGCCACCGCCTCCTTCCGCCTCTACCTCAGCCGCTGCTGCCAGTCGGCCTGATGCAGCGGCCGCGCCTCATTGGCTCCGTCGCTTGCTCCGGACCCCACCCCCACAGGCGCAGCCCAACCGCCTCAAAATGAGGCGAGCAGAGCGAGGAAGCTACGCACGGGCACAAAGGGAGGGGGCTGAGCGCGCAACCGCCCAGGAGGCCGAATTGGCTGACGGAGACTGAGGCTGCGTGTCGCAATGCCTATGAAGGGCGAGGCTGGTGTGAGGGGTGGGACTGGGTGGGAGGGACTTAGGGGAGCCGTTGCCAGGAACACTTCTCTGTGGGTAGCTGGGTGAACCCTTAGCCCCTTCCTCTGGTATGGCAACTGGTTGCCATCCTTTTTCCCTTTTTCGTCGTTATCACTTGATATTCTGACACAATCCAAATCACCCCTGGCCAATGCTTGGGGCTTCTGAGCCACCCTCCTATGACCTGATCTTCCCACCACCACCTCCAGGCACTTTGTGTTCAACCTGTGCAAAACTTTTTTTTTTTTTTTTTTTTTAATGTGCACAACTATGTTTTAAGTTAAAAAACTATTTTTAAAAAATGATTTATGGCCGGGCGCGATGGCTCAAGCCTGTAATCCCAGCACTTTGGGAGGCCGAGGCGGGTGGATCACGAGGTCAAGAGATCGAGACCATCCTGGTCAACATGGTGAAACCCCGTCTCTACTAAAAATACAAAAAATTAGCTGGGCATGGTGGCACGTGCCTGTAATCCCAGCTACTCAGGAGGCTGAGGCAGGAGAATTGCCTGAACCCAGGAAACGGAGGTTGCGGTGAGCCGAGATTGCGCCATTGCACTCCAGCCTGGGTAACAAGAGCGAGACTCCGTCTCAAAAAAAAAAAAAAAAAAAAAAAAAAAAAAAAAAAAAAAAAAAAGATTTATGGGCCAGGCTCAGTGGCTTACACCTGCAATCCCAACACTTTGGGAGGCTGAGGCAGGTGGATCACTTGACGTCAGGAGTTCGAGACTAGGCTGGCCTACTTGGTGAAACCCCCGCCTCTACTAAATAAAATAAAATAAAAAATTAGCCAGGCATGGTGGTGTGCGCCTATAATCCCAGCTACTTAGGAGGCTGAGGCACGCGAATCACTTGAACCCGGGAGGCGGTGGTTGAAGTCACCCGAGATGGTGCCACTGCACTCCATCCTGGGCCATAGAGTGAGAGTAAAAAAAAAAAAACAAAAACCAACAACAACAACAACAAAAAAAAACAATTTATGAATGCCTTGCTTCTCTGTAAGCTGAATTTGAGGTGCCTTACCACAATTCGTATCATACAGAAAAATCTAGATGAGCTAATAAAATAAGTACGAAGAAAAGGAAAAGTCAGACCCAGGCGTGGTGGCTCACGCCTGAAATCCTAGCACATTGGGTGGCCTGACCAATATGGTGAAACACCGTCTCGACTAAAAATATAAAAATTAGCAGGCAGATCACCTGAGGTTAGGAGTTCAAGACCAGTCTGACCAACATGGAGAAACCCTGTCTCTACTAAAAATACAAAATTAGCGTGGCATGGTGGCCCATGACTGTGATCCCAGCTACTACTCGGGAGGCTGAGGCAGGAGAATCCCTTGAACCTGGGAGGCGGAGTTTGCGGTGAGCTGCCCCACTGCACTCCAGCCTGGGCAACAAGAGCGAAACTCCGTCTTGTTTTCAAAAAAAAAAAAAAGAAAAAAAAGAAAAAGAAAAAAAAAAAAAAAGTCAGAATAATATGAAAGGCCAGGAATAAGAACACAGATAATCCAGTCATAGGGGCTTACACAGTTATGAAAATTGGGTCATACATTTGGCTCTGAGCTTCCTGGTGGCCAAAACTAAAAGGAAAAGACATGTATGTGCTTTTATCACTGTGTCTAAGAAGAAACACAGTGTTCTTGGAGACTCTCAATGTTTCCCTTGTTGCAGCTTTCCCTTTTTCAGGGGTTTCATATAGTGATTTTGAGTAATAAGCAATATCCTTGTATTCATTACCTATTGTTGGGTAAAAATAGCCCCAAATTTAGCAGCTTAATAAACAATACATTTTTATTTTTCCTCACAGTTTCAATGGGCTAGGAATCTGGGTGAGGTTAGCTGTGTCCTCTGGCTCAGGCTCTCATGAGGATACAATCAAGCTGTCAGCCAGGGCTGCAGCTCTCGCAAGGCTTCACAATCCTCTTTCAAACTCACTTCCACAGCTGCTGGAAGGCCTCAGGTGTTCTCTGTCTGTTGGCTGGAGGCCTCAGTTCCTGTCCACTTGTACCTCTTCATAAGAAGCAGCTGGCTTGCCCCAGGGCTAGGGAGGAGAAAGAGGAAGAGAAAATGAAAACAAGAGAGAGATCGTAGTCCTTTTTTGTTACCTAATCCCAGAAGTGGCATTCCATCACTTTTATGCATTCTATTGCTACTTAGAAAATAGCACCTAGGTCTAGCAAGGCATGATGGCTCACACCTGTAATACCAGAATTTTAGGAGGCCGAAGTGGGTGGATCATCTGAGGTCAGGAGTTCAAGACCAGCCTGACCAATATGGTGAAACACCGTCTCGACTAAAAATATAAAAATTAGCTGGACGTAGTGGAACACACCTGTAATCCCAGCTACTTGGGAAGCTGAGGCAGGGCAATCACAGAAACTCAGGAGGCGGAGGTTGAAGTGAGCCAAAATCACACCATTGCACTTCAGCCTGGCCTAGAAGGCAAAACTCCATCTCAAAAAAAAAAAAAGGAAAAGAAAAAGAGTCTCAATAATCCTTAGGTCCAGCCCATGATCAAAGGGAGAGGATTATACAGGACATAAATATGAGGAGGCTAAACATCCTCACTCTGCCCAGGTGGGGTGTCTCACAACATTTTGACAGGCTGAGGCAGGAGGATTGCTTGAGGCCAGCCTGAGCAACACAGGGAGCTCTGGTCTCTGCAAAAAAATATACAGAATTAGCCAGGTGTGGCGGTGCATGCTTGTTGTTCCAGCTACTTGGGAGGCTGAGGGGGGAGGACTGATTGAGCCCAGGGGTCTTAGGATGGGGGTGTGGGTTGAGGCTGCAATGAGCGAACATTGCCCCATTGCACTCCTACCTGGATGACAGAGTGAGACCTTGATTCAAAAAAAAAATCCTCACTCTGCATCCCTAATGATTTTCATAAATCTAAGTGGAATCCTGCAGCATTCCTTCTCATAGATCCCTTTACTCACTTAATAAGATCTCTTGATTATGTGGCTTCTTTTATGTCTGGGAGGTTTACTCATTTTATTGCAGATAGTGACTGTTACTCTTCATTACTGTGTAATAATACATTATATTACATATCCAAAATTTTGTTTATCCATTCTACCACTGTTGGACATCTGGCTTATTTTTAGCTATCACTAATTAAGTTGCTATGAACATTCTATAAATGACTTTTGGTGGACATAAGCCCTCATTACTTTTTTTTTTTTTAATTGGAGAGAGTTTTGCTCTCGTTGCCCAGGCTGGAGTACAATGGGGAAATCATGACTCACTGCAACCTCTGCTTCCTGGTTTCAAGAAATTCTTCTGCCTGAGTCTCCCAAAATGCTGGGATTACAGGCATGAGCCACCCTGCCCAGTCAGCATAAGCCCTCATTTCTATTAGGAATACATCAGGAATGGAATTGATGAGTGAGATAGTATTGACTGCATGGATAAATACTGCCTCTGTCAATTCAGATGCTCCAAGTGAGAAGGTGCAGTAGCCTGCAGGCCCACACAAGCATGAACATTAAAAAAAAATATTGAATTTCTTCAAGAAAAATTCCAGGCACTTAACCCTGAAAAGTCATTGAACAACATGATAAGCAAGAAGGTAATCACAGCCAGCAGCACAAGCATCGGCCCAAGGCAAGTCTGGCTCCAGCCAGCAAAATGTTAAAAAAGGGTTCACATATGTCAGAAAATAGTAAGAGAATGTTTGTGTGTGTGAGAGAGAGGGATGGGAAGTAAAACTAAAGAGAAATAGTGTAAAGAGAAAAGAGAGAGAAGCTTTTTCTTTTAAAAACTCATAATAGCTAAGCCAAAACATGTTTAAAAAGGTTTAAAAAGGAAAACTATAAAGTAAAAGAGGAGCAAATTGTGGGAAGTAGAAAATTCCTGTGGTCCCAGCTCCACAGGAGGTTAAGTGGGAGGACTACTTGAGCCCAGGAATTCAAGGGTAGAGTGAGCTGATTGTGCTACTGCACTCCAGCCTGGGTGATAGAGGGAGACCCTGTTTTAATAAGAAAAGTTTGGGGCCAGATACAGTGGCTCACATCTGTAATCCCAGCATTTTGGGTGGCCAAGGCAGGTGGATCACTTGAGGTCAGGAGGTGGAGACCAGCCTGACCAACATGGTGAAACCCTGTCTCTACTAATTAGCTGGGCATGGTGGCGCGTGCCTGTAATCCCAGCTGCAGGTGTGTGCCACCATGTTTGACTAATTTTCTTTAATTTTGTACAGATGGGGTCTTGCTACATTGCCCAGGCTGCTCTCAAACTCCTGGGCTCAGGTAGTGTTGGAAATAGATGTTGGAAATAGATGCTTGGTGCCACAAAGAAAAATTAGCACTGAGACAGCTGATCTTTCAGCAACACAAGTTTTACTTCCTGGACCACAGGAAGGGTACTTCTAGTAGCCATTGTGCCATGAGAAACAATGAACAAAGGAGGAACCAGGCGAGCTCATCCCAGTTCGCTTCCATAATACAAGAAACAGATGGGCCGGGCACTGTGGCTCATGCCTATAATCCCAGCACTTTGGGAGGCCAAGACGGGTGGATTACGAGGTCAAGAGATGGAGACTATCCTGGTCAACAAGGTGAAACCCCATCTCTAGTAAAAATACAAAAAAAAAAAAAATAGCTGAGCATGGTGGCGTGCGCCTGTAGTCCCAGCTACTTGGGAGGCTGAGGCAGAAGAATTGCTTGAACCCAGGAGGCGGAGGTTGTGGTGAGCCGAGATTGTGCCACTGCACTCCAGCCTGGGTAACAAGAGCGAAACTCCGTCTCCTAAAAAAAAGAAACAGATAACAAGGTGTAATTTGATGTGCAAGAGACTGACAGGAAAAAAAAGCCTATGAAGAATAAAGGAAAGGGGGAGCAAGAATAAGCATGGATGGGCCAGGTGAGGTGGCTCACGCCTGTAATCCCAGCACTTTGGGAGGCCAAGGCAGGCAGATCATTTGAGGTCCAGACTTTGAGATCAGCCTGG